CTCCTAATTAACTAAAATCTCTAATGTCTTTTTTCTTTTTTTTTTTAATGTGTTATTTATATATGAGAGGAGCAGATGACAAGAAAACAAGCTCAAATTAGATATTTGGTCAAAAGAGGCAATTCCTAATTGCCTAGGGTCATTACAGCTTCAGCCTCATCTCTCATATCTTCTACTTCACCCTCAAGACTATAGAGCAGTCATTGATGTTCAGTGTCCTGAGGTACTTCAAGATCATCAAAGGTAGATAGTTTTCAATAAAAAGGTTGAAACAGGATTTTCTAACCTTCAGTTAATCAGTTAAAATTTTAAAACTATACTTTTAATTGAGCATTCAGGTTTATCAAAGTTTTAGTGTGCAAGGGGGTAAAAAGGCTGATGAAGTGGGAATGTGAAAGCTTTATTATAAAAAGTGTTTATTAGCTATTCATTTCCACAGAAGGTAGAACTAGAGGAAATGGGGTTTTATTTGCAACAGGAAAGATTTAGGATAGATACAACGGGAACTTCCTGATGGTAAGGGTTATTCAAGTTGGAATATGTCACTGTGGGAAATGATTGTGTGCCCATCCCTATGAACAGTCTGGTACAGGAACCATTGATGTTTTTAGGTTTAGGGCCTACCTCCAGTCCTCATCTTCCCATTCCTCCTACTCTTGTCCCTTCTTTTGGCAGCATTATAAAGGCCTCAAGAAAGATCTCTTTCTGACCCATGGGGAAGCCCTTGGCCTGTCTTTGGGGACACACTGCTGTGGAGATAGCTGGGGAGTGGAAAAAGGGGCAGTAAGAAGCAGGCATAAGGTAGCAAATAAGAAAACAATCACTCAGTAATTATTTTGTTTTTGTTTTAATATAGAATTTTTAGAAATTCCTCCTTTCAACAAGCAGTACACAGAATCCCAGCTTCGAGCAGGAGCTGGCTATATCCTTGAAGATTTCAATGAAGCCCAGGTGAGGAGTTTGTGTAACCTAACACAGTGGCAATGATAAGAGACAAATTACTGTATGAGAAGAGGCCTGAGAGCAGTTGGGGAATTTGGATAAAGTAGCCTGAGATTTCAGGAACTGAGACAGTACCAAAATGTTGTTGCATGAAACAGATTTTTTGTTGTGTATAGGGAAGAGAAGTTAGGACCTTGGGTTACTGGCTGTGGTTCTGTTGCTGGGACAAAAGTAGATTGAAATTTGTGTTTAGTGGTGGAAACCCCTATTACTGTTGCTGATTGTTAGCCTGAAAGGCTGAATTTATGGGTCTTGGTTGTCCCTTGAGGATTTAGGTCCTCAGAATGCCGTAGGTGAGGCAGAGAGAACATCTTTTGTCCACCTTCCCGTGAGAAAAGTGGCCTTGGGCAGACAGACTAAATCGCATTTTGCGTAGTAGTTGCACGTCTTCAGATCTGCTCTTCATGGCTCATTATGACTGCTACTTAGGAGCTTTCCACATAAGTCACCAAACCCATTGGCTCTGCTGCTTTTCTTCCAGTGTAATACAGCATACCAGTGTCTTCTAATTGCGGATCAGCACTGTCGAACCCGGAAGTACTTCCTGTGCCTTGCCAGTGGGATTCCTTGTGTCTCTCATGTCTGGGTCCATGATAGTTGCCATGCCAACCAGCTCCAGAACTACCGTAATTATCTGTTGCCAGCTGGGTACAGCCTTGAGGAACAAAGAATTCTGGACTGGTAGGTATTTGAGAGCCCATCCAGAATTGTATAGACAGGAGGGCAGCAAACTTTGGAGGGAAGAGAATCTAGGTGAGAGAGTAAAGCTTTCTAGAAACTGGAATATGTGTAGGTGGAATATGTGTAGGATAAATCTGAGTAGGTTTGAAATGACTAGCAGTTTATCTAGTTTATTTTCATAGGTTATATTGGCTAGGAACCTTTTGAAAATGTATGAAGATTTGTACATAGGCTCAATATTCTCAACCTGTAAGGTTAGAGAATTAAGTTTTAAGCAGTCATTAAAAATATATAGGCTCAGAGCATGATTTGGATTATTCTCAGACCCAGAACACACAAGGAAATCAGAAAGCCAGGATCACAAAGAATACAGGTCATTCACAGAAAGAAGGAAGAGAACCGGGACCCCGATACAGGCCTTAGTTTTTTGAGATGAAGTCTTGCTCTGTCACCAAGGCTGGAGTACAGTGATGTAGTGACGACTTACTGCAGCCTCAACCTCCCGGGCTCAAGTGATCCTCCTACTTCAGCCCCCCAAGCTGCTGGAACTATAGGCAGTCGCCACCATACCCAGCTAAATTTATTATTTTTTTTGTAGAGTTGGGGTCTTTTTCATATTGCCTGGGCTGCTCTTGAACTCCCGGGATTACAGGCATTAGACACCATGCCTGATGGGGCACATAGTGTTGAAAGCATTCAGATGTACAATGAGTGCGTTTGCAGAAAGGCAGTTTTACTTGTCATGCTAAGGCCCTTTCCGGTTATATAGAGCTATTTCTCTGTCTCTTTCATAGGCAACCCCGTGAAAATCCTTTCCAAAATCTGAAGGTACTCTTGGTGTCAGACCAACAGCAGAACTTCCTGGAGCTCTGGTCTGAGATCCTCATGACTGGTGGTGCAGCCTCTGTGAAGCAGCACCATTCAAGTGCCCATAACAAAGGTACATGAAAGAGTTTGTGTCTATGTCTTTGTTCCAGGGATTTCCTTAGACCTGTAGGTGTCAGGCCTTGTGGTCCAAGGCTCAGTCCTAATAGGTTGACTGTATCCATGTTTCTAAGAGAAGAAAAGTACCACCTTCAAGAGGGGAGTCAACGTAAGTGAAGCACTGGATGTATATTGTTAAATATTTTTTACAATGTCAGCACATAGTGATTATAGCTCTACTTTCGGTCATGATCAGTAGCAGTATGTTTGCCATAATGGGCTTTGGTTTGTGCAGAGTGGGATGTATTGGCTAGAATCACATCTCTCTTTGTAACAGAGGGCTAAATTGAGTGTCCTTTCCTTGTTCACTTTCCCTTGCTTCTGGCAGATATTGCTTTAGGGGTATTTGATGTGGTGGTGACGGACCCCTCGTGCCCAGCCTCGGTGCTGAAATGTGCTGAAGCATTGCAGCTGCCTGTGGTGTCACAAGAGTGGGTGATCCAGTGCCTCATTGTTGGGGAGAGAATTGGATTCAAGCAGCATCCAAAATATAAACACGATTATGTTTCTCACTAAAGATATTTGGTCTTACTGGTTGTATTCCCTGCTATCGTGGAGATTGTGTTTTAACCAGGTTTTAAATGTGTCTTGTGTGTAACTGGATTCCTTGCATGGATCTTGTATATAGTTTTATTTGCTGAACTTTTATGATAAAATAAATGTTGAATCTCTTTGGTTGTAGTAACTGGGATTTCTTCATCTGTTTCTTTGAGCTTAATCTCAACAAATGTCAAGACAAACAGTACTGTCTGAAGTTTTCAATAGGCTTATTCACTTTAGGAGGTCAGCTAGCCAAGGAAATTGAAAAGTTAGAGTGAACTTTATTCTGTGGCATCATTGCCAAAATTTAGTTATTCTAGGTAATGTCTAAAATGCTATGCTGACAAAAACTCAGTTTAAAATAGGCGATGGCCCAGATTAATAAATAGTTGTGCCAAAAGTTGAGTGGAATTGGGCACAGCTCTTGTTTCCTAACAGTAAAAAAAAAAGATCTCATTCTCTTTCTCTCTTTAGAGCTGAGATCACTAACAGCTGACCTGTGGGTATTTCCCCCCCACTGTTAGAGCTAAAAGGAGAACGACAGCACCAACTGCCATGAAAGGACAGTGACCATAAGCTGGATGGTATGACCTTCCGTAAGATAAACACGAGAAGCACAACTGAGAACGCTTGGACATGTTAAAAGTGCTAGTCAGAAGCCCAGTATTAGTATTATTGTTGTCACAATGTCTGGAAGCTATTCCTTCCCTTCCTCTAGCATCATCCCTGTTTATGTCTTCTCATTCTCTACAGCAGGGGTCAACAAGTTTTTTTTCTGTAAAGGGCCAAAGAGTAAATATTTCACGCCCTGTGGACCATTTGATTCATCACAACTACTCACCTTTGCTGTGAGAGCATGAAACAACCACAGACAATGAGTAAACAAATGGGCATGGCTACATTTAAATAAAAACAAAGCCGGGCGCGGTGACTCAAGCCTGTAATCCCAGCACTTTGGGAGGCTGAGGCGGGTGGATCATGAGGTCAAGAGATCGAGACCATCCCGGTCAACATGGTGAAACCCCGTCTCTACTCAAAATACAACAAATTAGCTGGGCATGGTGGCGCATGCCTGTAATCCCAGCTACTCAGGAGGCTGAGGCAGGAGAATTGCCTGAACTTGGGAGGCGGAGGTTGCGGTGAGCTAAGATCGTGCCATTGCACTCCAGCCTGGGTAACAAGAGCGAAACTCCGTCTCAAAAAAAAAAAAAAAAAGTCTTTACAAAAAGACAGCAGGCCATAGTTTGCCAACCCCTGTTCTAGAGACAGCAGTGGAAAGGGTGATCTTTAGTTGATAGTAGTAGGAAGTAAGGCTGTCAGAGCTTCCCACTGTGTGTAGAAGATGTAGCTATGAAAACCAGATTCAGAGACTATAAACTAATGCAGAACACTGCATTCTTTTTCAGTTTGGAGGGAGTTGTTAAACAAATATTTATTTACTCACACTGATATGAATCTTGATTACCAGTGATGGCTGGGCCATATTAAGATAACTTCAACTCCTATGGTTTGTGTAAGATGGGTAATTGGGCCTGCAGTCTTCAGTATTTAAAAACCTAACAACTTGATCTCAGTATTTTCTTAAGAAACTTTTTCTTGGAGAATAAAAAATGCTTTTTTTGGGGGGTGTGGGGTGGGGATGGAGGTTCGCTCTTGTTGCCCAGGCTGGAGTGTGATCTTGGCTCATTCCAACCTCTGCCTCCCAGGTTCAAGTGATTCTCCTGTCTCAACCTCCTGAGCAGCTGGGATTACAGGTGCATGCCACAACACCTGGCTAATTTTTGTATTTTTCGTAGAGACAGGGTTTCATCATATTGGTCAGGCTGGTCTTCAACTCCTGACCTCAGGTGATCCACCTGCCTCGGCCTCCCAAAGTGCTGGGATTACAGTGTGAGCCACCACACCTGACCTAAGAAATACTTTAAATATATTTTCATTAGTTAGAATTGTCCAATCTGTGTAGGTATAAATTACTTGGTGTAGGGAGAGAGAAAGCCTATCTTACCTGTTCCTATCTTACTTGGTGGTAACATCCAGCAGTTAACCTGTTTATAAATACAGTTACTTTTTCACATATGAACCATGAAATAGTTAACTTTCTGCTCTGTATTGTTTACTGCTGTATCTCCCACAGCTTGAACAGTACCAAGGCACATAGTAGGTGCTCAATAAATCACTATTAAATAAAAACATATCCAGCAGATTTTCCCAATGTAAAGTATCAGAGATGCCACATGTTCTCCTTGATGGGCCAGACCCTTGAATGATGGGAAGGATTTGTACCCCTAGATGTTCAGTAACTGCTTCTAGGGATAGATACCGTCCTATCACTAGACTGCAGTTATTTGTGTGTGGCTAGAAGGGGATGTTTGTTTCGAATCTTCTGTTACAACCTTGGGAATGAGGTGGGATTTACTGTTACTTCAGTTTATGAGTCAGAGCTTTTCACATTCCGAAACTACAAAAAAGAAAGAAAGCCTTATTAAGTATTATGCTTTCCCAAGACTGCCTTCAAAGAAATATGAATCAGGACAACTTGTGATCTAAATAATGTCATCTTAAAACTCAAGAGTTTCTCCCAACTATTCTGCTAAAAAAGCTTAGGAAAGAATCTGCTTGTGGACATTTTAGAGAGAGAAAGGTCAATAAAACTGGCAGACCTCTGGTAAGCCAGCTACCACTGAATCTCACTATCAGATTTTTTTTAAAAGTTTAGAGTTAGAAAGGGTGGTCCCTCCTTTCACAGATGTAGAGGCTAGGGACAAGCAAGGTGGGGTGCCCATGGCTGCACAGCTAGTTCATGTCAGAATTGGGAATGGAAGACACATGCCCCCCTCAGCACAGCAGTATATAACCTAGCAAAGGACTGAACACCTATCTCACCGTCAGGTTTCTTAGTATCTGATGATGACGACTTTTACTAGAAAATAATCTTCATTAAAATTATTAAAGATGGTCACACTTCTATCTCTGAGCCTTGTTTATAAAATGAGGGTAATTGGACTACATCATAGCTAAAGTCTCCTTCCTGCTCTAGAATTCTATAACTCATTAAAAAGATACCCCAAAAAGTCTACTGAGTTACCCAAGGGTTGCTCCTACCTGCCCAGCGTTCCACCAGCCTGGGTATAGTATTTGTTATAATCTAGTCGTAACAGTAGTTGAGCCAAATCCGAGTTGATCTGATGATTCCGAACACTGGAGAGAATCTTGAATAGGAGTGAAGACTGGCGGCTGAAGCCCTGCAGACAGAAGGACTCAGTTATCATTCCACTTCAACTCAACTCTCCATATGGAGGATGGGGGCAGAGTGGGGGGTTCTTGGAAAAGCCTTGTTCAAAATTATATAGAACCACCTGGCCTTCCCACATTCCTATTAGTTCCTAAAATGACTTGTACCAAATCCATACATGCATGACTTCCTATGAAAGTACGCTTTCATCAGTAGGAACTTAGTAGCTGGTTTCCAGTTAACATATTTTGTCAAGTACTGAGGTTGGGGAAAACCTGTTTTGATTACAAGCAGGTCATTATCTCAGTGAGATGGGGTTTAGTTAGTTCAAGGAAGTAAGGAGGGGTAGGATGTGAGGAAGTTAGAACAAGGCCAGTGCTTATTTGGTGGGCTGAATAAACTACTCAGGACTGAACTACTTTTGAGCACTGTGAGGTGGCACAGTAATTACCTGTTTCAAAATCAACTGATACCAACATTTTAATCTTTGTATCTTATTTCTGTGTGTGTGTTTACTGAGGAAATGTTGTAATGATTCAGAGGAAAGATCATGAATCCTCCATTGGCAAAACCACCTCTATCCTTTCAGCAAGGCTGCATACTTCCAGACAGACGCACCTTCACGAGAATGCTCAGCTGGGCGGCTCCACGCTCATCCAGTGGGCCTAGGTTCTGACTGACCAGCGAACAGAAACTGTGACAGAGATCTAGGATTTCATTCAGGCAGTGAAATACCTACCCAGGAAACAGAGTTGGCATTAGGAAAAGGAAGGAAGGAACCTTCATGAAATTAAAGATTCGGGAGAACAGTCTGATTAGTAGCTGACCTCCCAAATCTGAGAATATACTGCCACTTTGCAAGGCCTGCCAGCCCCTCAAATACACAAAATGTGTAAAACAAACGCATCCCTTCCTGGCTAAGCTTGTATTACTCTCAGCCCTGCAGCAAACCTCCACTCTAGCCACATTTAACTCTTCATTTCTCAGACCCACAGAGTATAGTATGTTCCTGCCTCTGAGCTGTGAGTGTTCTTCCCTTTGCCCCGGATGCTCTTCTTTTTAATACTAGTTCAGGTCCTACCCACTCAGTGAAGCGCTCCCTTCCACACTGTAGCCTTTAGTGAACCCCCATTTCTTGTTTCTTTATTGTTGTCCACTTGGCAATTGTTCAGGCCTCTGTGTTGTTAATGATTTTTGTATGTATATATGTCTGTTTTTCCAACTAGATTGTGAGCTCCTTAAGGGCAGAGCCATGACTTATACCTCTTTGTATCCCCAGTGCCTTGCATACAGTAAGCACTCAATAAATAATTAACGATGATGACCTGCTCTGATAGTCTGTTTTTCCCTACAGATACATCTGTGCCACACAAGGACAGCGTCTATCCATCACAGTATTTTTTTTGTTATTTTCAGCCAGCCCTTTGATATATAACGTACCCTTCATACAGCAGAAATAGCCCTAAACACCAGAACAAAAAGGTCTGTAACAGCTATGCTATAGCACACTGAGGAATAACAAGTAGCTCATATCAGAGATGAAGCATAACCATTACATTAGAAACTACAAGAGATCATTTCAATCTTCCTATTTTTTATCCTGGAATTGGAACTAGCTTGTGAGCTCTAAAAAATATTGGTACTGGATCCCACTATTATAGGGACTTAAAGTGCTCTGTCACCTAGATATTTTTGAAGGGTCCCGATGATTCCAATGTGCAGCCAAAGTTGAGAATAACTGCCATGAAGGAGATACATATGTACTTACAGAAACACGTACACACATCCAGAGATAAACACTACTTGTCTATGAAAAGAACTCTCAAATGACTGATCCATCCTGGTCCAAAAGACTTCTTAGAAGATGGACTCCATATGCTTTTCATTGGTTTCTCTGTACTGTCAAGCAAGGTTTGTGAGTTTAACTCTTGAGCATATAAGCACATAATTCTTTCATGTATAGCTGCTTACCATGCCCTATATTTCGGGAATTCAAAGACATCTTAGGTCCCTTTGAACATGCCCTTTTAGTTTTGCTTTATACATTCTTTAAAAATGTTTTAAAATGAATAACTGCTTAATGATAGTTTCATTTCCTGTCAACTCGGAGCGTGTGAGGGAATGGTCAGGTCAGTACTAGAAGCAGTTTAGGAAACCAATGAGCCTTACTTACAGGTTTCAATAGGATAAAGGATTGAGCCAGCAAATTGCTCAGGAAGTGGTCATGAGCCAATCGGATGCTTTCAAAGTCTCGGGTAGAATTGATTTGATGAAGCAGCTGGGAGAACTGAGACTCCAACACATCTACCTGACAGACATTACAGAAAAATTTTAGCACCTTGCATATTCTAAGGACTAAAAGACATTAAGATGCCTGACAAGTTGAAATGAAAATGCTTTGCCCCCACTCATCTTCCTTCTAACCAAGCCACTTTTAAGGCTCACCAAAGACACCCTTATATTGCCCACCCTTGTAGGAAGTTATCTGCATAATTCTTTACTCCGTCCAATGTCTTGGCTGACCACTCTCCCCTGCCCCATCTTTTTTTCTTTTTTTGAGACAGAGTTTCGCTCTTCTTACCCAGGCTGGAGTGCAATGGCGCGATCTCAGCTCACTGCAACCTCCGCCTCCTGGGTTCAAGCAATTCTCCTGCCTCAGCCTCCCGAGTAGCTGGGACTACAGGCATGCGCCACCATGTCCAGCTAACTTTTGTATTTTTAGTAGAGACGGGGTTTCACCATGTTGACCAGATGGTCTCGATCTCTTTACCTCGCGATCCACCCGCCTCGGCCTCGCAAAGTGCTGCGATTATAGGCATGAGCCACTGCGCCTGGCCCTTTTTTTTTTTTTTTTTTTGAGACGGACTCTGTCTTGCTCTGTCTCCCAGGTTGGAGTGCAGTGGCACAATCTTGGCTCACTGCAACCTCTGCATCCTAGGTTCAACTGATTCTCCTGCTTCAGCCTCCCGAGTAGCTGGGATTACAGGTGCCCACCACCATGCATGGCTAATTTTTGTATTTTTTAGTAGAGACAGGGTTTCACTATGTTGGCCAGGTTGGTCTTGAACGCGTGACCTCAGGCGATCCACCTGCCTTGGCCTCCCAAAGTGCTGGGATTACAGGTGTGAGCCACCACCGTGCCCAGCCTCCCCTGCTACATCCTAACCCATTCATGTCACAACCCCTCCACTGACTGACTTAGTCACCTATTACTTTGCTATCACTGGAAGTGATAGCAAAGAATAAAAATAAGGGGCAAGTCAACAATAAATAACAGATGGCTGATGAGGAGCCTTTAAAATGCTTTTAAGAGGCTGGTATGGCAGTTCATGCCTATAATTACAACACTCTGGGAGGTAAACACAGGAGGATCACTTGAAGCCAGGAGTGAGTTGTTTTTTTTTTTTTGGAGACAGAGTCTTGCTCTGTTGCCCAGGCTGGAGTGCAGTGGTGCAGTCTCAGCTCACTTCAACCTCCACCACCTGGGTTCAAGCCATTCTTTTGCCTCAGCCTCCCAGGTAGCTGGGACTATAGCATGTGCTGCCACACCCAGCTAATTTTTCTGTATTTTTAGTAGAGATGGGTTTCACCATGCTGGCCAGGCTGGTCTTGAACTCCTGACCTCAAGTGATCTGGCTGCCTCGGCCTCTTAAAAGTGCTGGGATTACAGACGTGAACCACTGTGCGTGGCCGAAGCCAGGATTTTGAGACCAGCCTGGACAATAAAGTGAGACTCCATCTCTACAAAAAATTTTTAAAAGCTAGGCATGGTGGCATGTGTCTGTAGTCACAGCTACTTGAGAGGCTGAGGCAGGGGGATCACTTGAATCCAGGAGCTTGAGCCTTCAGTGAGCTATGAGTGTACCACTGCACTCCAGCCTGGGCAACAGAGCAAGACCCTGTTGTTTAAAAAATAGCAAAATAAAATACTTTTTAAGAAACATGCCTATTGGTTTAACTCCTGAATTTTGTCAAACCCCACCATTGTATTAAATACAATATTGTAGTCCCTCTTTGAAACTCCCTTTGAACCTCCTAGGCTTGTTTCCATATCCTTTCCTTCTACTCATCTCTCAGCACAAACCTGGAGATAGTACTGAAGATTATCCACCAAAAATGCCATGTGATTTCTTAGGCGCCACTTGATCGCATCAGTCTGGTTGGACTTGAGGTGCTTGCGCTGCATTTGTAGGGCCCAGCAGTGCTGCAGCTCAGCTTGCACCCGGCGCACGCTCAATAAGTACTTGAAAACAACGTTGTATCTAGGACAGAAACAACAGGATATTCAAGATGAAAATTTCACCCCCTGCACTTCCCCCACATTACAGACTCTAGGACTTTGTGCTACCCACCCATTTCACAAAAAGGCAGTAAGGAAAGAATGACTAGACATGTAGACAAATTGTAATTTAGCTATACAATGGAATATCATATAGCAGCCAAAATGAATGAACTCCAGCTATATAACAAGGTGAAACCCCATCTCTGCAATTTTTATTTATTTTTTATTTATTTACTTATTTTTTTTTTGAGACAGAGTTTCGCTCTTGTTACCCAGGCTGGAGTGCAGTGGCGCGATCTCGGCTCACCGCAGCCCCCGCCTCCTGGGTTCAGGCAATTCTTCTGCCTCAGCCTCCTGAGTAGCTGGGATTACAGGCACGAGCCACCATGCCCAGCTAATTTTTTGTATTTTTAGTAGAGACGGGGTTTCACCTTGTCGACCAGGATGGTCTTGAACTCTCAACCTCGTGATCCACCCGCCTCAGCCTCCCAAAGTGCTGGGATTACAGGCTTGAGCCATCGCGCCCGGCCTGCAATTTTTAGATAACTAGGGAAATTTCAATGTGGACTGGATATAGGATTATAAGGGAGAAATGTTAATTTTATAGGCTGTGATAATGTCATTATAGTTCTGTTGAAATATCCCTTTTTGAATGGTTGACTCACATTGCTTCTTAGCAATATGATTTTTGAATGAAAAAGGTAAATCACAAAAAATAGCCTTTTTTATAATTCTTTAAACAGGCCAGATGTGGCGGGCTCACGCCTATAATCCCAGCACTTTGGGAGGCCAAGGCAGAAGAATTGCTTAATTAAGCCCAGGGGTTCAAGACCAGCCTGAGCAACATAGTGAGATGCCATCTCTACTAAAAATTTTAAAAATTAGCCAGGTATGGTGGTGCCCACCTACAGCCCAGCTACTCGGGAGGCTGAGGCAGGAAGATCGCTTAAGCCCAGGGGTCAAGGCTGCAGTGTGCTGCCTGGGCAACAGAGCAAGACCCTGTCTCAAAAAAAAAAAAAATAGTGTGTTATGAATCAAGGATTATGATGAAGCTGATTCTCTGTCCCTGAAGCCCAAAGCTTCCCTCTAAGATAGACTCCTGCCTCCCTGCAAGCTGAGGAGCTAACTGCTTAATGCTGAGACCCCATACTGAAAAGACACATGGGAGTAACAGGTGATTCTTGGTAGAATTGGATTTATTTACCTGTTTGTAGGCAGGCTTGCAGAAGACAGTCCCATTATGTTTGGTTTTAAAAATTATCTATTTCTAAAGGAACAAACAATAAAATAATAGACCTTGTTTGGATGCTGATTTGAACAAACCCAAACATATTTTTTTTTTAGATAATTGGAGAAATTTCAATGTAGGCTGGATATTAGATTATAGGGATTACTGTTAATTTTATTGCATGTGACAATGGCATTGAAGTTCTGCTGAAATATGCCTTTTTCCATTGTTTATTGGCAGAATGAATGGATTATGATTTGCTTTATTCAGCTCCAGCAACAAAAGTGGGGGAGGGACAGGTGAAACTAGTAGTAGAATGTTGATGGTTAACTGAAGGTGAATAATGAGGACACAGGAGTTTGTTATAGTCTATATTTGTTTATAAATGTTTATAATGTTTTTATATGTTGAGAGCATATCCAGTTGGGAGGTAAGTGGGCTATTGGCCTACAGGATCCTGGGAACTAAAGATCTTTGGAAGTTCTTTGTACAGGGTCCATGCCACTTGCTTAGCTGGGCCATGGGCTCTGAATTTGCCATAGAATCTTCTCCCTGAACCAGCCTCATCTTTTCTAGTTTATGCCCAGTCTGTTCTACCCTAAGCTTCTCTACCTCAAAAATGTAGAGAGCTGGGCGCGGTGGCTCAAGCCTGTAATCCCAGCACTTTGGGAGGCCAAGGCGGGTGGATCACGAGGTCGAGAGATCGAGACCATCCTGGTCAACATGGTGAAACCCCATCTCTACTAAAAACACACACAAAAAAGTAGCTGGGCATGGTGGCGCTTGCCTGTAATCCCAGCTACTCAGGAGGCTGAGGCAGGAGAATTGCTTGAACCCAGGAGGCGGAGGTTGCGGTGAGCCGAGATCGCGCCTTTGCACTCCAACCTGGGTAACAAGAGCGAAACTCCGTCTCAAAAAAAAAAAAATAGGAAGGATTCAGAGTGGTGGCTGGAGGAAGAGATGGCCTTTTTGTTTGTTTCCCTTTTCTTCGTTCCTCTGGTTTCACTGAGTATGACAGCTTCAATTCTCCATCCATGCCAGGGGCCAGTTCTCTGACCAGTAACTGGGTTTGGGAAGTTCCTAGATATGGTGTGAGGGTAGATTTCAGAAGCCACCAACCAGCCACATTTGCTTCTCTTGCCTCTTTTCTGTACATCTCTGGTTTGGGGACATTAGGTCCTGACCAAGCCAAGCAGTAATGCTTGGCAAGCTCTCACGATCAAGAGCAAGGGTGACCTGACAGAAAGAGACTCCAACTTGCTCAGCTCCTTTACTTCACCCCCAAGCTTGGCTGCCCCTGTTCTCTCTCCCTGGGTGTAAGGAGGCAATCTTTTCCCCAGTGACTGACATCCACAGCAAACATGCAGGCTGGAAGACTTTCCCAAGTAAATCAACAAAAAATATTACAAAATTGAGGGAGAGACCTTGTCAGGCATGAGGGAATCATCAAGGGCAATTATCTGGACATGGTACCTGAGACCTTATTTTCCAGAGGTCACAAACTGGCAGCCTACAAACTGCTTGTTATCTGGCAATTTAAAAAAACAACAGTTTGAAGTGGGTATGTGCCCTCCCGTGGATTTCAACACCCACCACTCCCTGTGTCTCATATCTGAGCTTCACTTACTAATGTGATCGATCAGTCTATCCCTGAAGGCAGAGGCGTTTAGAACTTTTGATTTACGGATTGTTAAAAACTAGTTGGGTAGCTATCTTGCTCCCATTAATTTAAAAAAAAAATTTTTTTTTTTAAGAGATGGGGTCTCATTATGTTGTCCAGGATGAATTGAAATCCTGGGCTTAAGGAATCCTCCAGTGTCAGGCTCTGGAGTAGCTGGGATTACAGCCATGTGCTACCACAGCTTGCTCTCCCAGTAATTCTATTACTGATAGTTTTTTCCCTTGCAAGTAAGGTGGGTTATATTTACCTGTGAGAGAAACCCAGAAATACTCACTTTTCCAGGACAGCTGGGGTGAAGAGAATATGTAGTGGCCACTGTACTTTGTAGGAAAGACCTAGGGCTGCCCAGCCAGATGCAGGGGCTTCCCGGGGAGAAGTTTCCCGAGAAGGACCTTCTCTTGCCTGAGTAGCATCTGCTATGATAAACAAAAGAAAAAAAGAAAAGATAACGACTTGGTTACAAGAACCAGAGACTCAGCAAGTGAGTAACATTCACAAAATGAGTTTGCAGGAGTTCAAGACAAGCCTAGGCAATAGAGTGAGACCCTGTCTCTACTAAAAATCAAAAATTAGCTGGGTGTGGTGGTGTGTGCACCTGTAGTCCCAGCTACTCAGGGTGCTGAGGCATGAGAATTGTTTGAACCTGGAAGGCAGAGGTTGTAGTGAGCCAAAAATGCACCACTACACTCCAGCCTGGGTCACAGAGTGAGACTCCATCTCCAAAAGAAAAGAAACGAGAGCTCGCTGGACTCTGATGTCAGAAGGTTACAGGTGACACAAAAAAGAGGGCAAGGAAACTTTGTGAGGTTATCTTGGGAGGTCTTCTACAGATTCTTTCCTCAGCTTTAAAATCTGGAGGCTGGAAATAAATAAAACAGGGACCATTCCAGCAGCATGACCAAAAACAAAACCCCAGACCGCCCCAAAACATAGCCTGGGCATCTCACGTAGCCTTTCTGGACTTCCCTTTTCTTCTGTATAAAACTATAGTACTGTACTACCTGATTTCTAAGATCCAAAATTAAATGGTTTCTATGGCAGGGGCTGGAAGCAGAGATGGGAAAATGGGTATGACCAGTAGGAACTCTAAGGTGGCAGGGAGGAATGGCAAACCTTTGTGCTCTTTTCCGTGATACTCAATTGTCAAGTGCAACAGAGGGAGAAGGTTGTCATCATCTAGCAATACCTTGTGTGCTGACTGCTGAAAGGCCACATTCACATCTGCAACAAAGAACATGTGGGCTGACAAGGACACCTGCCTATGGAACAAGCCCAGACTCCTGCAGCTTTCCACTTCCTCCTCAGCACGCCCAGCACTAACAGTGGGACACAGTGGACATCTGTTGCATTTGCCTAACATCCATCCATCCTTCTCTTCTTGCTGTTAACAAACTGCCTCCTGATTTTCCTTGGAGAATCATCCCTACTCAGTACAGTTCACGTATTTCCAGTGGGTTAGTGCTAGATAACACCTGATTCTAGGGGTAGCCAGGTGATGTAGACATGATCACGTGGAATGTAATACTCTACTTTGTTATGCTATATTGTTTAGGGATAGTAACACAACCAAGCCAGGCCAATCCAGAGGCTCTATTCAGACCCTTAAAAGAGTACAGCTCTTTTTTCAAGATAAACAGGGGCTTAATAGGATGTAACTTGGCTAGACTATCTTGCTACCATACAGAGCAGGCCTATCTGAGAATAAAGAGGTGAAAGATGGAAAGAGACCAAGTCCTAAAGGTGCCACACATGTCACTGGATCAAGCTTTGCCAAAAACCATCACACTGCTGAGCTTTTCAGTTGAGAATCAATACATTCTTTCTTTCCTTTTGCTTTAAGTGAGTATGAACTGGATTTTCTGGTATTTACAACCACAAGTACTTATATTTGTACTATGTAAGTACCGTGGACATCTATGATTTTACTGAGCTAGAAAAAAAAAAATCAGCCTGTGTGTTATGTATTTTCTTTCTCCCATTTTAGTTTTTTTGGTCCTTACCCAACTCTATTCATGCAGTTTGAATGGGAATGGCCATCAGTTGGTCAAGGGATGGCCACTTCACTGAACTAGGCATAGCCTAGTGTTCTGACCTTTTTGACTGATGTAAGAATAGGCATGTGGGCCAGGCGCGGTGGCTCATGCCTGTAATCCCAGGACTTTGGGAGGCCGAGGCGGGTGGACCATGAGGTCAAGAGATTGAGACCATCCTGGTCAACATGGCGAAACCCCGTCTCTACTCAAAATACAAAAAATTATCTGGGCATGGTGGCCTGTGCCTGTAATCCCAGCTACTCAGGAGGTTGAGGCAGGAGAATTGCCTGAACCCAGGAGGCGGAGGTTGCGGTGAGCTCAGACCGAGCCATTGCACTCCAGCCTGGGTAACAAGAGCAAAACTCCATCTCAAAAAAAAAAAAAAAAAAAAAAAGAATAGGCATGTGATGTGGGCTGGGCCAATCAAAACCTAGAGAATTTTGTAGAATTCTCTAACTTGCAACAAGAGGGACCAGGTTTGGTTCCTTTAGAAGAGGACACTGTGAGGCATGTTCCTGGGAGCTGCTGGTGGGTCATGTTTCCAGAAGGTGATCAAAGAGTTCACAAGAGACATATACAAGATATGAACGAGAGACGTGGGGCAGGGGAGAGAGGGAGAGAGAGAATGAATATGAATCCAAGTTGTCCCACTGGAGTTTTAGATACAATAGCAAATCAATTTCCCTTTCCTACTTAGGCTAGCTCGGGTGACGTTTCCATCATTCACACTTAAAGAATTCTACTACAACACTGACAAGAGGCACTAAGTCCCAATATGCCCCATAAAACATATGTGGCTATAGCCCAATGAGAAAAAAATACCTGGTTTGAAGGTCTGTACCAACTCTTCCAGGAGGGGTCATGAGCCAAGACACTGTTCCCAATGACCCCAGCATGAAGCCTACCTGCAAAAGGGCCTTCCATCTCAGGAAGCCACTGCTCTGTAACACACCAGGCTGCTCTTATGTGGAACAAGCCTTAAACGGGTCAGCAGCAGCCAAGAAATACCCTGCCATGTCAATCAGTTGATCATTCTCAGGGCCACAGACAATTACCATGCTCAGTTACTGCAGTGGGCGGTGTTTTTAACATGTGTTGAGCTGTATCAATGAAGGCCTGAAACAGTTCTCCACGTCCCAGAAGGTAAAAGTCTTTAATGATCTGAGGAAAGAATTTTAACTTACAATTCCGTAAAGCAAGGCAGGAGCTCCTCACTGTCCTGAGGAATTACATGTATACAGTAATTTCCAATTTCATCAACTTGGGCCCAAACTACAAAAGGATATAGGCATTGGACATTTCAAAAAGGTATACTTAGTTCCACATAGCAGGATGACTGGTGTGTATTTGGCCTTATTTATTCAATAGCAACATAATTATATTATGCCAGAAGAAAGTATACTCCCAAATCTTTGTATGATAGTAGATTTGTAACATTAGGTATAATTTGCTCACTTAGATAAGAACAAATGAGTTGACTCTGGAAGTCTGGGTATAGGCAACCAGTGCTCTCAGAAAATGTCAGGGAATGGAAGTCACTGCCTACCAGCATCATTGTAAGAATTAAAATAGCTCAGCCATTACCTTCAGCTGACCCAGTAAATCGGACTCTTCTACCATCAACTTCCAGAGATGCTGTGAAAACAACCACCAAACAGGGACAAATTTCATTACAGTGAGAACTCCTGCCAAGAATGGTTCCATACAAATCCAGCAATGTATTAAAAGAAGAATATATACCTTGCCCCACATAGAAACATTTACCCAAAAGGATCATTGTATTATTCCGTTCTTGCACCATTGTAAAGAAATACCTGAGACTGGGTAATTATAAAGAAAAGAGGTTTAGTTGGCTCATAGTTCTGCAGGCTGTACAGGAAGCGTAGTGGCTTCTGGGGAGGCCTCAGGAAACTTACAATCATGGCAGAAGGCAAAGGGATCTCACATGGCAGGAGCAGGAGCAAGAGAGAGCAAGAGAGAGCAAGCGGGAGGTTTTTTTTAAATCGCTACCTCAAACATTTTACTTGGTATGCTGGAAACATTTAAACAACCAGATCTCAAAAGAACTTCCTGTCGTGAGGACAGTACCAAGGGGAATGGTGCTAAATCATTCATGAAAAACTATCCCATGATCCAATCACCTCCCACTAAGCCCCACCTCGCCCTGTCTCCAACACTGGGGATTACAACTCATGATGTTTTGGCAGGGACATAGATCCAACATATCAATCACAGACCTGGGTATAAAACTGAAAACTATAAAATTTCTGGAAGAAAACAGAAGAGAAAAATCTTTGTTACCTTTAGTTAGGCAGAGTTCCTAGACATAACACCAAAAACATGATCCATAAAAGGAAAAAAAAAAAGGTAAACTGGATTTCATCAAAATTAACAACTTTTAGGACAAGTCATAAATCGTGAGAAAATATTTGTAAGTCACTTATCTGTTAAAGAACTTAAATCCAGACTATATAAAAGACTCTCAAAATTTGACAATAAGAAAACAAAAACCCAATACAAAATGGACAAAGAGGCACATGAAAAAATGTTCAACCTCATTAGTCATTACAGGCATGCAAATGAAAAGACAATGGAGAAGCCACCCAAACATCTATGAACAGATGAATGGGTGAACACACCGGTATAAACAACAGAATACTACTAAGCAATATAAAGGAATAACCATTGATAAATGCAACGTGGGTTCATCTCAAAATAATTATGCTGAATAAAAGAAGCCTAGTCTCTTCCTCCAAAAGAGTCCATCCTGAATGATTCCATTTTTATCAACTCTAGAAAATGCAAACTAACCTAGACTGACAGGGAATAGATCAGATCAGTGGACGCTTGGGGACAGGTAGGGTAGCAAGGGTGGGATGAAAGTACAAGGAAAGTTTGCAAATAAAGGATGGAAAATGACATCAGGTAAATATAATCTGAAAGGAAGCTGGATAGTGATCTTACTAACTAATAAAATAGAATCTAAGTAAAGAATATATTAGGCTGGGTGGGGTGGCTGACACCTGTAATTCCAGCACTTTCAGAGGCCGAGGCGGGTGGATCACTTGAACTCAGGAGTTTGGGATCAGTCTGGGCAACATGGCGAAACCCCATCTCTACTAAAAATACAAAAATTAGCCAGGTGTGGTGTCACACGCCTTTAACTCCAGCTACTCAGGAAGCTGAGATAGGAGAATTGCCTAAATCTGGGAAGCGGTTTTTGCAGTGACCCCAGATCATGCCATTGTACTCCAGCCTGGGTGACAGTGAGACTGTCTCAAAAAAAAAAAAAAAAACAGAAAAATATATATATGTATCAATTATATAATATCTATATATATCTCATAGGTGATACAGAGGACATTATGTATAAATAAAAGGAAAAACACAATAAATATATATTATAAATATGCACATGCTTCACATATATCCTAAAATGTACAATTAGAACATACACTCAGGCCAAGTGTTTGAGACCAGCCTGAACAATATGGTGAAACCCCGTCTCTACTAAAAATACAAAAAATAGCTGGGCGTGGTGGCATGCACCTGTAGTCCCAGCTACTCAGGAAGCTGAGGCAGAATAATTGCTCGAACCCAGGAAGCGGAGGCTGCAGTGAGCTGAGATCATGCCACTGCACTGCAGCCTGGGCAATAGAGTGATACTCTGTCTGGAAAAAAAAAAAAAGAAAAAAAAAAGAAAAAAAACATACACTCAAGACAGAATATACATTCTCCAGGCATACGCAGGACTGTTAAAAACAAAAACCAGACCCTGTATTAGCCCATTAAAAAACCTGCAACCAATTCCAAAGAAAAAGTGTCATATAGACTATGTTCTCCAACTATAATGCAATAAAATTAAAACAAATTCCTTGGTTAAAAAATCATAAAATTAATTAGGATTATATAGAACATAGAACACTACATGCCAAAAACTTACAAGACACAGTCAAAATAATATGTAAAGTTTTATATATATTTCTTAGAAAACAGGTTAAAAATAAAGAAGTCAAGCCTTTCAACCTGGAGAAGAGTAATTTAAAAAACACAAAGGAAGAAAATTAAAAAAAAAAATAGAGAATTCAAAAAAAATTATCTTTATCTTTTATTTTGTTTTTTTTTTTTTTTTTTGAGATGGAGTCTTGCTCTATTGCCCAGGCTGGAGTGCAGTGGAGCCATCTCAGCTCACTGCAACCTCTGCCTCCCAGGTTCAAGAAATTCTCCTGCCTCAGCCTCCCCAGTAGCTGGGACTATAGGCACCAGCACACCTGGCTAATTTTTGTAGTTTATTTTAGTAGAGACAAGGTTTCACCATGTTGGTCAGGCTGGTCTTGAACTCCTGACCTCAAGTGATCTGCCTGCCTTGGCCCCCCACAGTGCTGGAATTACAGGCGTGAGCCACCGTGTCTGACCCAAAAATATATTTTTGAAAAATAAAACTGGCCGGGTGCAGTGGTTCACATATGCAATCCCAGCACTTTGGGAGGCCAAGGCCGGCAGATCACCTGGGGTCAGGAGTTCAAGACCAGCCTGGCCAACATGGTGAAACCCTATCTCCACTAAAATATAAAAATTAGCTGGCCAAGATGGCAGGTACCTGTAATCCCAGCTACTTGGGAGGCTGAGATGGGAGAATCACTTGAATCCAGGAGAAGGTAGCTTCAGTGAACTGAGATCACGCCACTGCATTCCAGCCTGGGCGACTAAGTGAAACTCTGTCTCAAAAAATAAAAATAAAATAAAAAGCTGGGTGGGTACAGTGGCAGACACCTAGAGTTCCAGTTACTTGGGAGGCTGAGGCAGAAGTTTCACTTGAGTCTAGGAATTCTGGGCTGTAGTGTGCTACACCAATTGTGTGTCCACAATAAATTCAACATCAATATGGTGACCATCTGGGAGCAGGGGACCACCAGGTTGCCTAAGAATGGGTGAACTGGCCCAGGTCAGAAATGAAGCAGGTTAAAACTGCAGTGCTGGGGTATGGTGGCTCTCATCTGTAATCCCAGCACTTTAGGAGGCTAAGATGGGATGACTGCTTGAGGCCGAGGGTTCTAGACCAGCCTCGGCAACATACTGAGACTCCATCTCTACAAAAAAATTTAATTATTAGCGGAGCATGATGTTTTGCCCTTGTCCTAGCTACTCAGGAGGCTGAGGCAGGAGGATTGCTTTACCTTTAAAGTTCAAGATTACAGTGAGCTATGATCACACCGTTGCACTCCAGCCTGGAAGACAGAACAAGAACCAATCTCTGGGGGGAAAAAAAAGAAAAAAGAAAATGAAAGGCCAGTTGCTGTGGCTCATGCGTATAATCCTTGCACTTTGGGAGGCTGAGGCAGAAGGGAGGATTGCTTGAGCCCAGGAATTGGAGGCTGCAGTGAGCAATAATTACACCACTGCACTCTGGCCTGGGTAAAAGAGTAAGAAGAGTAAGATCCTGTCTCAATTTAAAAAAAAAAAAAGAAAAAAAAAAAATGAATGAGCCAGCCATGGTGCACTGTGGTGTACACCTCTAGTCCCAGCTACTTGGGAGGCTTAGATGGGAAAATCGATTGAGGCAGAAGATCGAGCTGCAATGACCCGTGATTGCACCACTGCTCTCCAGGCTGAGTGACAGAGCGAGAAGCTGTCTGTAAAAATTTTTTTTAATTCAAGAAAAAGCCAGGCCCAGTGGCTCATGCCTGTAATCCCAGCACTTTGAGATGCTGAGGTGGGTGGATCATTTGAGGTCAGGAGTTCAAGACCACCCTGGCCAAAATGGTGAAACCCCAACTCTACTAAAAATACAAAAATTAGCTGGCTGTTATGGTGCATGTCTGTAATCCCAGCTACTCAGGAGGCTGAGATGGGAGAATCCCTTGAACCTAGGAGGTGGAGGTTGCAGTGAGCCAAGATCATGTCACTGCACTCTAGCCTGGGCCACAGTGAGACTGTCACAAAAAAAGTATAAAAACAAAAGCTTGTTCTTTGAAAAGACTAGTAAGACAACGATAAAAATAAAATCTAAATAAATAAAAACAAATCTAGATGAAATAGGTAAATTCCTAGAAAATACCAAAATTAGTACAAGAAATAATTGTTTTATGTCAATAGGTTTTCAATACACTCGACTAGTTAAGTCTTCCCTCCTAAAATACCTAGCTTAATTTTCAGGTAAATTCAAACTTTCAGTAAGAATTCCTGTCTTACGTAAACTGTTCTAAAAAACAGATAAAGAACAAAACCTACCTAGCCCAGTTTATGAGGACTATAGAATCTCTAGTCCAAAACCATATAAGCAAAATACAGGACAAGAAGGGTAGTCTTATTTCATTACTGATATGGTTTGGCTGTGTGGCCACCCAAACCTCATCTTGAATTGTAGCTCCCGTAATTCCTACACAGTGGGAAGGACCTGGTGGGAGGTAATTGAATCATGGGGGTGGGTCTTTCTCATGCTGTTCTTGTGATAGTGAATAAATCACATGAGATCTCATGATTTTATAAAGGGAAGTTCCCCTACACAAGCTCTCTTGCCTGTTGCCATGCATGATGTGAGTTTGTTCCTCATTCCCCTTCAGCCATGATTCTGAGGCCTCCCCAGCTATGTGGAACTGTGAGTCCATTAAACCACTTTCCTTTACAAATTACCC